AACCACCGGGTTCTTTGTACAAACGTAAGTCTTCTGCGCACGTAATGCAAAAATATCATTTTCAATTTTCTATGCGTTTTAGGGATGAATTGTGCGAGCTATATATCTTCACCTGTTGCAGCCTGTGACTATGTTCCGTTATTGCCGTTTGTAAGCACAGTCGTACCGTTAACGTAAAATACTGGAATTGTCATCTCGTTATGTGAAGTATTAATGTGTACGTTTATTTTTGTAAGAACGATTTAAAGTGCATATTGTCTTCTCGCAAGTTGACGTTTGGATCATCGTGTGGGTTTGCCCGAAGTATGTTCCTGATGAGTCATGCCGGTTTGTTAAATCTATTTTCAAGAACGAAGACTTTTTTAGATAAATGCGTTCATGTGATATCAGCTTCGTCCATGGTGTACATCACTCACCTGCAGATTGCGTTGATATGTGGGGACAAGTATTCAAATATATGGATATGTATTGACGTCATAATCAGCTAGAGGTGTTATTGATCGTTGCATATTCGGACTGAAATTCACAAAAGTAGCATCTTTTTACACAACATGTTTAAGTCATATGTAGAAGATTGTTCCATCACAACACAATCATATGACCTTGATGACTTACCTGTTTCGTCAGTGTGGCCGCCATCTTGGATCTCTATCTCAACCCGAATAGGATAATGTGTTGTTATGTCAAGATGCAAGATTTGGTTTAATCGTTGATTGGTTGATCTATGTGTGAGATTATACATTCATGCGATGCATATTAACATTCCCCAATTTCACTGAGTGGGATGCATGTGCGTGCAATTTGTTTGGAAACTCGAAGCGGGATCCGATCTATAATAATGGCACATCATTTAGCATTATTATCACAAAGCAATATTCACCCCATGGGAAACCGGGACAGAATAGGTCCCCTGTGTATTCTGTTTGGCGTAGCCACTTATTAATCTGGCTCAGATACAAATATTGACAGGCCTTTGTAATTGTATTGACTGACTGAGGTAATACAGTGTTTTGTCTCTGTCGTTCACTTTATACTGCGAAGCTGAAAAGTCGAATATGCATACGTCTTTCTCGACACATGTATATGTCGATCGTTTACGCCTCAGCAATATTACATCAATACCAATGGGGGCACCAGAAATGGACCTACATATTGTACCATGACTTCAGAGACGTCACGGGGCGGTCGGGTAGCCTAGTGATTAAAGCGTTCGCTCGTCACGCCGAAGATCCGGGTTTAATCCCCGACATGGGTACAATGTGTGAAGCCCATTTCTGGTGTCCCCCGCCGTGATATTGCTGGAATATTGCTAAAAGCGGCGTAAAACTCACTCACCCACTCGGAGACGTCGCCTTGTATATTACAGAGGAATACAGGGTGGGGCGTTATTTATAAGTACTTCCCACTCCATAACAAATCAACCTCGCACCATGAACCCAATTAAAGAGAACTAACAAATTATGTCATTAGGATCCATGGCCCCCATTATCTGCCTAGGTCTAGACATTGTAATTAATACCACATAGGAAACCATTGTGTCTGTCCGATTTTGGGATCATTAACTGATATACATCATGCCGTTTGAACTAGCAGACAAACAAAGTGTTCTTTGAGGTACTTGAACTCGAACAAGGGTGGATCTAGCAATTTTGAAAGGGAGGGGTCCAAAATATCAATTTCCTCTCTCAGATAATTTTACTGCCTACATCATACATTTAGTTTTCAAAATAGGGTGGGGGGTCCGGACCCCCTGGACACCCCCCCCCCCCCCCCCCCCCACCACCACCACCACCCCACCCCCCACCCCACCGCCCTGGATCCGTCTATGCCGAGTGTTGGGTCTTCTAATTAACCCGAGGATGTTGCCCCTTTGAGTTAACCATCTGTACTAAGCATATACGCATTTACTTCCTCATGAGCCACAGGTGCATTTGTCATATGCGATGCAACATGACGAACCCTCACGAATACACCGCCCCCCTCCCCGCCCAATCCCACACGCACTCTCTCCACCCCCCATGACGACTATGTAAGTGTGTTCACGTAGTTGCACGGACCTTGTGTAATGTGTAATCACAGACGTATCCATCGTTTACCAACCTGCTCCAATGTCCCGACCCCATACGTAGCTCCCTCGCACGGGTGCTCATTCCTCCCCGGGGGTGCAGGCTCTGTGAGACCCTGGGTTATCTAATTGTATCAGGTATCCCAAGGCTGTCACATGAAATGTGAACAGCTACTGGTTGCTGTAAGAGCTACCACAAACTAGGACTCAAGGTCGCGGTGACCTTGAACTTAGGCTGAGGACTAGGTTAACTACAAGATTTCATTGCATAATTACATTAGATTAAATTACATGAGTATTATAATTGATTGCCTCCATCTGTAGTACACATACTCACTTGGAATGCTGGCATCAAGGAATCAACCGTTTCGTTTGTTTCTACACCGGCGGTTATGACGACATTTACACTTTTTGTTAAAATCTAAAGTGTTCAGTGGCGTCGGGGATTGAGGTGAAATAAAATGAAATTGAGGTTAGAATAAAAAATATATGAGCTTCAAAAGTGTTATCCATTTGGAGAATGGACCCAGAGGCTTGACGAACGAAGCTTTAACCACCAACTACAACCCAACCGCTAGATCGGAATGGGTGTGAATAGATATAGGCATCGTTAGGAATAAGGGTGGTAATGTTTATAGTTCACATAACGCTATGGTCACCTCACATACACTCACACCGATACTTGGATACTCGCCTGATGCAACAATAACTGAATCACAGGGCGCTTTTCAAGCACTACCTAGTCAGTTCACCTATACTTACAACTTCATAAACAGGAGGTGCAGTACATTGTGTATACAGGTACGTGGAGACAGGTCACTCATCCATCTTCAGAATTAACAACATCAATTTTATTTTCTCTATTCAGAATTAACCACAGTAGTTCTAGCCTCCCTCTACTTAATTAACCACATTAGTTCTAGCCTCCCTTTAAAGCAATTATCAACATTAGTTCTAGCCTCCCTTTACATAATTAACCACATTAGTTCTAGCCTCCCTTTACGTAAATAACTACATTAGTTCTAGCCTCCGTCTGCATAAGTAACAACATTAGTTCTAGCCTTCCTTTACATAAGTAACAACATTAGTTCTAGCCTCCGTCTGCATAAGTAACAACATTAGTTCTAGCCTCCCTTTACGTAAATAACTACATTAGTTCTAGCCTCCCTTTACATAATTAACTACATTAGTTCTTGCCTCCCTTTACATAATAAACGACATTAGTTCTAGCCTCCGTCTGCATAAGTAACAGCATTAGTTCTAGCCCCCCTTTACATAATAAACGACATTAGTTCTAGCCTCCCTTTACATAATTAACAACATTAGTTCTAGCCTCCCTTTACATAATTAACTACATTAGTTCTAGCCTCCCTTTACATAATTAACAACATTAGTTCTAGCCTCCCTTTACATAATTAACTACATTAGTTCTAGCCTCCCTTTACATAATGAACAACATTAGTTCTAGCCTCCCTTTACATAATTAACTACATTAGTTCTAGCCTCCCTTTACATAATTAACTACATTAGTTCTAGCCTCCGTCTGCATAAGTAACAACATTAGTTCTAGCCTCCCTCTACATAATTAACAACATTAGTTCTAGCCTCCCTTTACATAATTAACTACATTAGTTCTAGCCTTCGTCTGCATAAGTAACAACATTATTTCTAGCCTCCCTCTACATAATTAACATCATTAGTTCTAGCCTCCCTCTTCATAACTAACAACATTAGTTCTAGCCTCCCTTTACATAATGAACAACATTAGTTCTAGCCCCCCTTTACGTAATTAACAACATTAGTTCTAGCCTCCCTCTACATAATTAAGACCATTACATATCCTTCCTATTCAGCATAAACAACATTAGCTCTATCTTCGCCTTACCCTGGTTTGGACGAACGCGATGAAGGTAGCGACATTTGCAGCACATACCGCAGTTCACAAGGCAGGGCAAACAAAATGCAATGAAACCATTTAATCAGTAAAAATACAGACAGAATTGAGCTGTGTTGTGTAGTTCAACATGTTGGCAGATATTCAAGTCTGCATTGATACTCCGTTTGGCAGGGCCTCGTAACGCAATATCGTTATGGCGCCATCACATGTGAGGAATCGACTCGAGTTCTGCATCACTATGGCAACCACACATGAATAGGAAACACATACCTTTGTTGTTAAGGATAAGACACCCCTGTTCCTATCAAGGTGCAAATTACAGTAACGTTCACGGATAGTTCCTCAAGGCTGTAAAGGCCTACGGATGACAATTTATTGAATGAATGGCCTTGGCAGGCAGTTGGTTGACGGCCTGATAAAAGTTATGTGTGCATAAACATTAAATACTTAACTGTGAGCATAACCATGAATTAAACTAGAAGGAGAAGATACGACGTCAACATTTATTAGACACACTAAAAGTATTGTGACAAAATTATTTTATAGCTTAAAATACAATCGCATAGAAGCCATAAAACCAGTGTAAGTACTTGTAATGGTCAGTATTAGCTGTAGTGGGGACAGTAAACATGTCCCCACATGACGCAAGACGCAAGACGCATGACGCATGTTATTTTTATCATAAGCAAAAAAAAGCAAAGTAGGAGTGTTTCAACCTTTCTGTTAATGTTTCAAGTCAATATATTTATTCTGCGAAAGAAACATTCCTCATGACCAAAACTTCCATGTAGGAAATAATTAAGCCACAGACATATCAATTCCTTGATTACGCCATTAATTAATCCCTGCCTTCGCAACAGACATCCCCCTCCTGACAGCGCCCACCTGGTGATATCCCCTTTCCGCGCAGAAAGACCTTATGTAGTGCACTCACCACGTGCCGCGATCGTCTGCTGCATATTTAGCCACTATCGTCTGCTACGGGCGAGGAAACCCGACACCAGTGGCAGACGTCAGGGGGTTTCTGTTGGCTTGGATATATGTAGCCGACATTTTAGAGGCCTCAGTTTGTGTACAGACAACATCCCTTGTGTCCGGCTTCCTTTCATTTCACATAGGATTTACGCATCTCTTTCTTTGGAGATTTAGTCGGACGTACGGACAGGCTGTTCGTTACCGTTTGGAATTTCAAAGGTAAATGGCTTGCTCAAAATAACTTCACTTCATCTCGGGCGTTTTTTGTGTGGTTTAAACACAACTCCCTGGCTATTCCTGGAACTATAATCACTTCATTTGTTTATCGGTTACTTTCACTTTCAGCTTGAGAAAACATTTTGTACTTAATCATATTTTTGAAAATTTTACTTTTACCTTAAAAACCGTATTCAAAACTCTATTCCATTAGTACATTGTTGTTGGAAAATGAAAAAAAAGGTGTACAATGAGACAGATTAAGTGTGTTCCCGTTTATCAGTCACATATCTGGGGTAAAAAAATAATTCCTCCGCGTTTTGGCTTTTTTTTTCAGGTTGCTCAGTCCGCTAACAACTAAACGATATTCCAAAAATAAGTTTCATTCACTGAACTGTGATGCCATGTATCTTAATCTTAGGACGCACAAGTTGAGATAACGCAGGATCTCTGAATGATATCCCCACATAACACCCACACACCCTGCACCAGCTCTCTTCCTATTTTGGTCTTGGCATGGAATTCCTGGATAGACAGTGTACTGCTCCCAGATGGCGGACCTGGCATTTCTCTGTCCAGTTCCCGTATAATACCATGTGCCTTGGACACAAAGATTGTAGACTGATGATGAAGGGAAATATAATCAATTGCAGTTGACCAATATGGCATCAGTATCAATATAAGCCTGGTATGTCCATTAACCTTGTTGCATTTTCTGCTGACAAGACAGTTTTTAAGAAGAGATTAGTTACACGCCATCAGCGCTCTGCATCCTGTGTCTATTGGAGGCAATTTAGATCCTTACTCTGATCACATTGACAAAGGCGATCTTGGAATTTCGAAAGGGGAGAAGTCGGATACTAGTAACAGTTTGGCACTTCTTTTATTTCGTTTGCTCGGAGTTGTCAGCATCATTTTGCCATTGTAAAGCAACCTTACATCATAGTATTCATTCTACCTAATATATTTCTTTCGGAAACATGCTTAGCGATCCAGCTTCAGTTACAGTACAAGACCTAGACTGAAAATTTAATCCCAGAAATAATGTTATCTTATCTATAAAATTATATCGACAAAAAATCCAAATGACGCCCAGAACAATCCTTAATTTCAGGGTTGAGGCAATCTAGAATTGAGTTGGACTCCTTTTTATTTTTTTTCTTCTCTAGGGGCCGGGAGACAGACTATACAACTGTTCAACCTCCTCAAATGAACAGCAGGGTAGTTGCTAATTTCCAATAAGTGGCCTTGTATTGATATGATATAGTGATGGGAACGTCGGTGACCAAAAATACCTATATTTGCTATAGCGATGAAACAAATTAAACACTAAAAAATAATTCTTAAATGTCTTTAAGAATTTAGTTTCAAATAATTATCATTAGTGACTGGCCGAACGTGTAGTGCAGTGTGTTTTAATGTTGACCATTTCCGACTCGGCTCTTTCGAAATGTTACATAATCACACGTTATTCAAGTTGAATCTTGAAATCGTTTCCAAAGATTTTCGATTGGCAAGTAAAAAGTGTCAATATAAACTTGCAATAGATATTACGCAATACAAATGCACGTTTCTAATCCGGATGTGACTAATTACTAGTGACCTTTTAAATCAGTTCGTACTATCCGAAGACGATTGATAACAAAGCTATCATAAATCCAATTTCTAATCTGAAAAACATTACAAATGGCCTCTCTGGGAAATAACCACTCAATTCGGTACATTCAAATATTCGCTACATCCGACTTCGTAATATCTTAAATCGATTGTGAATGAATATGGCTTTACGCCGCTTTTATGGGTATGCCAGCTGTATCAAGGCAGGGGGCACTAGAAGTGGCTTTCACAAATAGTACCCACGTCGGGAATTGAACCAAGGTATCGGCGTGACGAGAGAACGCTATAACCACTAGGCTATCCTTCTGTGGTATAAGTAACGGATATCTGATGCGTGTATTAGTGAGTGAGTGAGTTGGGTTTAACGCCGCTTTTAACAGTATTCCAGTTATATCGCGGCGTGTCAGCTTAATGTGGGAGGAAAGCCCGAAGTGATGCAGGTCTCAGACGTTTACCACTTCGGTAAAACCCACGAGCACGGGTATGGTGCTGACAAACCTAGAAACATAATCGGGGCGAACCGGGATTCGAACCCACAAACATAGGTTTCTGGCGTGCCCAAGGGACGCAACTCTGCACAGCGAATCGCGGCGCCTTAGACGACTGGGCCAACCGTGCCCCCGATGCATGTATAAAGATCTCTTTCTTCTGTTTCAGATCTGCTAAGTACCTAACAGCGTTTCCTCCTTCATAATGGCGGACGAGGAATCATTGTACGTATAACTGGAAGTAATTCCCCTTGATTCCCATTACCCGGGTGTTCGGGAGGTGACCTGGCTGATTGTATGTCATCGTGCCCCGATGGAGTGGCCGGTTGTTCATGCTATCAATCACTGGTATACCCGACGAGACTCGATTATATTAGAGTGTGCCATAGCTGGAACATTGCTGACTTCTTCGTACAATAACTTGCTCACACTCATTACAATCAGTTGATTGGGCTACAATGGCAGAACATGACATAATCAATGAGTTTTCCTACACGTAAAGGACTCAGACTAGTCTCAGGGGATTGGACCCGTGAAGATCCGGGGTAGAATAAGTCTTCAGCAACCCATTCTTGCCATAAAAGGCGACTTTACTTGTTGTAAGAGGCGACTTACGGAATCGGATGGTCAGGCTCGCTGACTTGGTTGATGCATGTCATCGTATCCCAATTGCGTGCATCGATGCTCTTGATGTCCATCTCTGGATTGTCTGGTCCTGACTCGATTATTTTAAGATCATATAGCTGGAATATTGCTGAGTGCGGCGTTAAACAGCAAACAACAAAATCTAAGGGAATTAAGTAAATATTCTTTGATCGCCTGTTGATTCTTGTCGAAACATGTTTTAAATTCAGAAGATAGAACCCTAGAGTTTTTCATAATCAAAATGGACAAAGTTTGATCATTTCTCAATGTGTATTGCATGAGAATGTTTCACTTTCCAGCGAAGCCGGACAAGAGGAGTAAGTACAAAGAATTCACACTGTAACACAGTAACAATATATCACCTTCACTGGATAGCTCACACCAGCATGACCAGAGGTCAAGGACCGCACACTGGACAGTGTATTAACTGTAATGTCCACTAATATCTAACCCCGAGCCATTTCGAGCTAAAATAGAAAATAGTTTATGTAACTTAACCTTATGAATGATGTAGTCTGTCTGATCCCCCTCCTCTCTCTCTCTCTGATTTTCTCTCTGTGTCTCTCTCTCTTTCTCTCGCTGTCTGATTCTGTCTCTCTCTGATTCTCTTCCCTCTCTCTCTGTCTCTCTCTCTCTCTCTCTCTCTCTCTTGTATTTTCATTAATTTGTAAATGTTCTTGTCACAACCTACTTATTTCCACACAGAGGGTCGTCTGCCCCGCCTCAGTACTCTCTGTCTCTCTCTCTTTCTCTCGCTCTCTGATCCTGTCTCTCTCTTTCTCTCTGATTCTCCCCCCCCCCCCCCCTCTCTCTGTGTCCCTCTCTCTCTGTCTCTGTCTCTCTCTCTTGTATTTTTATTATTTTATAAATGTTCTTGTCACAAACTACTTATTTCCACACAGAGGGTCGTCTGCCCCGCCTCAGTACTCTCTATCTCTCTCTCTCTCTCTCTCTCTCTCTCTCTCTCTTTCTCTCTCTGATTTTCTCCCCTCACTCTCTGTCTCTCTCTCTCTCTCTCTCTCTTGTATTTTTATTTTATAAATGTTCTTGTCACAAACTACTTATTTCCACACAGAGGGTCGTCTGCCCCGCCTCAGTAAGTGAACTAGTCTGTTCAAGGGTTGCCCTGCACAATGGCGTTCCACCCTCTCACGCTGCCTTGATTCAACACGCTTGTAGAGTAGACCGCAGATAGCCTTCTCCTCAGAATATACATCCTTCATCGTTCATTGGTTGAAATATTCCTTTACATCGTTTAACCAATGTCCTTTAGGAAAATAACAGTTGAAGTCCTACCCTTTTATAGCTGTTCACGACTTAAACGAATCTCCCTTTTAGTCATTTAGCTCCATGTAGTGAACATAAGAATTGTCTTTAACCAGTACAGTCCCCTCATTCTAGAATCCAACAATATGTGCAGATTCTTCACGAATAGTTCACGACTGTCAAGGTCGAGTTATGGATGGTAATTCAATATGACCAAATAATGTTTTATCCTTTGACTTGGTGGAGAATATGTGTATGCATATACAATGCAAAACCACCACGTACTAAATCATAATTCGTAACTGCTTGTGTATACGTTTCTCCATTATTTATTCTATACTATATGGCATCTAAAAACCACCATTCTCTCCTCAACAGAGAAGGCAGTTGACCTTAACGGTCATTCCCGCATTCATGTTTAGTAATGTTAAATATTGGCATTCGATGAAACTCAATTGAAAAAGTTAAATTTTGAAATATTTTCATTTTGAAATCGACAGATGATCAATTCGCAAATTACTTAAGGGTCTGCACATCAGTTGTTGGGTTATCGATCCATCTCGGTCGTCAGTAAAAGCATGTGTTATGATGTCAATAAACACGATCTTTCATTTGGTATACGTATCGGCATTCATAAATATTTGGCTTGAATATGGCACGTTTAATCGCAAATTGGTGCAGTATTAAATGTCTGCTTTATTGTATTTATTATTAATTTAATAAATATATCTGCAAGTTGTATGTTCAGATAATTTTGTAAATGTTCAGTAAAGCATGCTTGTTCGCAACGTGTCTGTAACTTTGTTCATAATGACGTTTGCTCTTTGATCAAAGCAGTGGTGCAACTCATTGTTCCTTTGGCACAATTACTTGATTTCAAATGGGATCAAAGAAAATAGCTTTCAGAGTTGTGTCTTACGACTGTTTCTGACGTTACAATCACAGCCAGAAAGTGCCACTGCTTTGCTCCTTCGTTAATGCTTACCATTCGCTTTTCTGTGCTCACTCTTGCTTTTAAATCTGCTCGGCTCTGCTCAGACCAGAGGAAACTTCTGCTCGAGAAGAACCAGCCAGTCAGTAAGTGCGTGTGTTCGTGCGTGTTTGCGGGCGTTTGTCCGCACGTGTGAATCACGACTTGAGTTTTTTGACTGATATTTTCAGATGGCTCGTCTGTTTTGGGCTTATGTCTTGAAACAAATCATTGTCTGTGTTTTATCTCGCAATTTCTATATAGAATGGTGCAATATGACTTTACGTAAAATAGATTCGAATGTGAATACTTTTTTTGTTATCTACTGTTTTACTAATTGTCAACAACTCACATATACGTGCTTGTCTTTACTATCATTAACAATTCTTAATAATTATTAAATACTATTCATGTAAGACATACATGTATTTTATTTGCAAATTTAACGTTATTTACTAAGGAGGGCGGGTTTGTACGACTCATGTCAGTCCTGTAAAATATGTGGTAAAATGTTTAATTTCATTAAAAAATATATATATTTTCTCTATCATACATAAACTGCCGGGCAAAAGAAAGTATACACCCATGTTTGATGTTGGCTTAAAGTGAAAAAAACCATTAATAGTTATTCGGTGGTAATGTATTTGATATTGGTATCAAAGTGTTTTGGGGACCTTAAGTTTGGAGTGTTTCGGCGAATGTTTTCAACCTTGTAACGTTTAGATAGAGTAATTTTTGGTCGTGTCTAATTTTCAAGTGTATACCTTAAACTATATTGTATTGCTGTGATCGTGCAAGCCCGACCTCTGTCTGATTTGATTTAATCTCTTTTATGTTTTGAGTAGCCAGGGATAATCCACTAATCTCTCATGTTGTGATTCGTTTACATAACCAATGATCTAACCATCTCCTGCTTTTAACCCACTCAGAGTCGAGGAAGTTGTGCGTCCTGCAAGGTAAGTCCACGGGAACAACACCACACACACACACACACACACACACACACACACACACACACACACACACAATCACCTAGTTTGTCAATCATGGCTCGTTCAACAAAGCTATCCTTATAGCGTTATGGACCAGTGAAGATCCAGGGTAGAATAGATCTTCAGCAACCCATGCTTGCCGTAAAAGGCCAGTATGCTTGCCGTAAGAGGTGGCTAACGGGATCGGGTGGTCAGGCTCGCTGAAGTGGTTAGTATGTCATCGTATCCCAATTGCATGGATCGATGCTCATCATGTCAATCACTGGATTGTCTGGTCCAGATCCGATTATTTATAGACCGCCGTCATATAGCTGGAATATTGCTGAGTGCGGCGTTAAACAACAAACAAACAAAATTAAAAGCGTCACTATTGTCGTAAGCCTATGTTAATGTATTGGAGTTTCAATACTGTACCGTAACACAAATTAGACTTTGCAATGGAACACCACATACTCGCAATGCTTTCCAAAAATAATTATATATATCACCATCTTTTGTTCAGTTTTGATCAACATTTTAACATTTAATGCTATTTTAATACGATTTATTCATATTTATGATAGTGTATTTCAACTTAAGTATACATCAAATCCTATCACCTTCTTTGACATTTCGTGAGTGAGAGTGAATATTACTTAACGCTGTCTCAACAATGTCGTCTTTTCTCGGCGAGGACAAGTTGTTATCGTGTTAAGTTATAAACACTCTTCATTGTAGTAGTTTAATTCTTATCGTTATACTCCCATAGCAGTGGAACTAGTAACACAATTGAAATGGAAAACAAGTTTTCCTTGAGATGTACAAAGTGTTGACAGGACAAAAGCTGATAGCTTCTATTCTGAATACTTATACAAAACATTGAACATAACTGTGCTTGTCCCTCAATAATTATGCTAATAACACAAATATAACCAATTAACACCATTATTGCTTCATTTCTAATTGTTCACTATCCACAGTAATAATACGGTGTTTAGCAGTATGGCATGCTTGCGTGTTATAACGAAAACAGTACAGAAACCTCTCGGTGCCGGACATTGGGTCAATGGCATCAGTAACCCGTTCATTACGCTGTCATTTGTCATCGGGGGGTCCCCTCCCATAGAAAACCAAAATGTGGCATGTTGTAGGCAGTAAAAGTATCTTAAGAGGGGATTTTGAAATTTTGGATTTTAAATTTTGATCCGCCCAACTTTGCATTGTCGATGGTGATGACATTCCTGAAAATCTGAATCAGGAAACTTTATGGTAGACTAGCTCTTTATTCATTTTTTAACAATTACGTTCCCACATCACCCGTGAATACACACGGCCGCGCAGACTAACGCTTCGTCTCTAAAAATATATAATTTTTATAGAAACAAATAGCTCCATTTAGATTGAAAGGAAGCCCCAGTGAGATGGGCAGAGGAAAATCTAGACTTCATTTAGGGCTTTTGCATTACAGAAAGGGGGCGGTCGGGTAGACTAGTGGTTAAAGCGTTCGCTCGTCACGCCGAAGACCCGGGTTCGATTCCTGACATGGGTACAATGTGTGAAGCCCATTTCTGGTGTCCCGCGCCGTGATATTGCTGGAATATTGCTCAAAGCGGCGTAAAACCATACTCACTTACACTCATTACAGAAAGAGTTGGCGGAAGGGAAAATAACATGGTGTAGGGACTGACAGACAGACTGACGACAGGCTTTTAAAGTCAACAAACCAAATCCGTTAAGTCCGTTAATAACTTAACTCCTTGTATAAACTCCGTGCGAACCCACCATTGCCTGGTATTGAAATAAGGTAAAGAGGACGAGTAGTATTGCCGTTTATGTGATGTATTCTGAGCGTTCATTGGCCAGAGAGCTCGCTGGAACCAGGCTGTGGTTTGGCTCCTTTGTCTTACCCTGTTCGCAAACCCCGGGATCATGAAACTAACTTAAGACCATATTTTGTCTTAACTCTTAAGATTTAGACTTAAGACCAAATTTTGTCTGAAATCGGGGATCACGAAGCTCAATCTATGAGAATATCTTAAGTCTGAGACAAAATTTGTTCTTAAGTCCTAAGACTGCCTCTGAGAAGACTTAAGACAAAATTTGTAACAAGAAAGATGGCGGAGGTTGTTCGCCTCATGCGTCGCATAAGGGCTAAAAAGGACAAAATAGCAATTCATCGGACATTTCGAGACCGTTTAACCCTCTTGATCTGTACAAGGACGAAGAGCTCTTTGAGAGATATAGATTTCGTCGTTCTACCATTTTTTTCATCGTTGGTCCTAACCGGTGATGAACTGGCATAGATTCTACCCCACTCAGCGTTCCCACAGTCTCCCACTTATTATTCAAGTTTTGATATTCCTTCAGTTTGTTGCCACTGGGGCTTTTAACCTTTATTTGCTCAGTTGTGTTGTGTCAGCCATGTTGGATAGTGTACAAAATCACGTTAAACGTACACCGGTAATGAGACGCAAATACCATCACGTATATTTCAAAATCAGCTGCGATACCTTAGACCGAATCTTAGCTTAGCAAAATCTTAAAAACTTAAGACAAAATTCATGCTTAGCAAAATTTGAGCTAAGACCACTTTCATGATCCCGGGGCCTGGTGTCGTCACCGACTTCCCGTTATCCATTCGTATGGTTTTCACCGCAGTTTTACCTTTTACACCCAAAGGAATCTGTTTCGATGGATGGGAGACTAATTATTTCCTGGCGGAGTTTCATATTTACAATAGCAACTACACCACGAAGCAGCCGTATGTATTCACGGGTGACGTAGATACGACCTATTCTCACTGAATGCTATACCTTGAGGGTCGTCTTCAGTTATCATTCCTAAACGTATCGACGTGAGATAGGGACTTGGTAGAATCTACTCCGCGTTGAGAGATGACTGTTCCACACCATTCACTTTTATCTACTTGCATGTACATGTATGTGTTTTCTGCTTTACAGACAACATGGGGATGACAACGAGGCAAGAAAGGCCATGGAGGTACGTAATTCTGAAGTGTACAAGTCTTCGTATACAGTAAACTACGGTTATAACGAACTCAAAGGGACTACTAATTTTAGTTCGTTATAACCGTAGTTCGTTATAAGCATATATACAGCATAACTACAGCAAATAGTCGGGACCAAAAAGTAAGTTCGTTATATACGTCAGTTCATTATAAGCGTGTTCGTTATAACCGTAGTTTACTGTATTCAAAACACCCGAGATCATTGTTATAGCTCACCTAAATGCCCTTGCCCACTCAGAGATCGTCATTTGATCACGTGGAAAAATATACCGCATATCCCCATTTCAAGGGACAGTGCACTGCACGTGCAAAATGTAATATTATATTCGCGTTACACATCAGACAGATAACACGTAATAGTATATTATCCCGTCATAAAGATACCAATCAAATTTTCGGTTTTACATTTATATTACGAAATGTACAATCATGCGTTCTCAATTTTGACCCGTGTGTATGTGAATGTAACTTTTTTGACGTATTTTCACTGTTATTGGGTCTTATTGGGCGGTATATTTTATCATCTTGTAAACAATGTAAACAAGGACCACAAGTTGTGCTTGGAAAACCTCGCTGCCTTATTCCTGTACACAGAATGCATATTTGGATTAATTCCTTTTTAAAATCAACAAAACAAAAACAAGAATGCATATAGTCTTACCGCCCCTTTTGGCAGTCCCTTTATCACATGCGTTTTGTTAACTTGTGCAATGTGCATCTTTCCTCAATTGTCAAAAATGCCCAACTTGCCACGTCAACCTCAGTATGCTCATGTGTGTGTTCCAGGACGCCAAGAAGCAGCGTATTGAGAAGCAGCAGCAGGAGATGGAGGAATATGAGGAGATGAGGCGCGAAGCTCGTGAGAAGGAGGCGCAGGAGATCCAAGAGCTGCGAGAGAGGAGGGTTAGTGTCAACTTGCGTTGTCTCATTGCTCTCTCCGCGGCCCCGACAAGGGCAGGCAGGACACTTTCCATATATGATAAATACAAAGTTTGTTTGTTGTTTTTTGTTTAACGCCGCACTCAGCAATATTCCAGCTATATGATGGCGGTCTGTAAATAATCGAGACTGGACCAGACAATCCAGTGATTGACATCATGAGCATCGATCCACATGATTGGAATCGATGACATGCATCAACCAAGTCGGCGAGCCTGACCACCCGATCCCGTTAGTCACCTCCTACGACAAGCATAGCCGCCTTTCACGGCACGCAAGGGTTGCCGAAGACATATTCTACCCCGGATCTTCACGGGTCGACTAATACAAAGCCTAATTTATCCCACACAATGCCCAAGAAGATTCTGTGGAAGACAACTCCCCAGTACCCCATGCTTGTCGTAAGAGCCGACTTAAGAGGGTCAGTGATCAAGCTCTGTCGACTGGCTGAGTGGTGACATCGTTCCCGACGGCGTGGATCCTGCTCCTGGTTTCAGTCACTGGTTTGTCTGGTCCATGTCATTTACAGGTTGCGGCGTTAAACAAGGACCAAACATGTAAGAAATGTTATACCAATATAGAAATGGGGACTAACATTCTATCCTTGCAAGATTCTGTAATAATATGTACCTTTGGCTACAGGAGAGACGCAAGGCTGAGCGTGAGGCCGAGGAGGTTCGCCTGACAGAGTTGAGAGCTCAGGAGGAAGCACGTAGGAAGGCAGAAGAGGTGAGTGTCGTAAAACTAAACTCAATGACCTAATTCTTAGTTCACATTTAAATATGTATGTGGCATATACATATTTAACGGATGATGTAACGTATACTCGCAAAGGTGCTGATCATTTAAGTGTATGTATCCGTTGCCCGGGAATAATGCCCGTAGCATGATAGACACATGTTGTGATTGATGTTGGATATTTAATCAACCGGTGTTATCCCTTGTCAGAGTATCACAATTGTCCACAAACTAATATGATAATTATAAAGGAGAAAAATATATTTTGCAATTTGCAAAAGCGGTATTTCTAGGTAGGTCACGTGTTAGAATTCACTTGTAACCAACTTAAAACTAAAAAATATTTGCTCATGTGATTTAATTCATAAAAAGGGCCCAAATAAAATGCCAGGCAGAAGTATGCAGCCATGTTTTATGGTGGTTAAACATGAAATAAACACGAAATGGTTATTCGATGGTTATGTATTTGGTACGGGTATCATAGATGCGTTTTGGACCTTAAGTTTGCAGTGAGTGAGTGAGTGAGTGAGTGAGTGAGTGAGTTGGGTTTTACGCCACTTTTAACAATATTCCAGTTATATCGCGGCGTGTCAGCTTAATGTGGGAGGAAAGCCCGAAGTGATGCAGGTCTCAGACGTTTACCACTTCGGTGAAACCCACGAGCACGGGTATGGTGCTGACAAACCTAGAAACATAATCGGGGCGAACCGGGATTCGAACCCACAATCATAGGTTTCTGGCGTGCCCAAGGGACGCAACTCTGCACAGCGAATCGCAGCGCCTTAGACGACTGGGCCACCCGTGCCCCCAAGTTTGCAGTGATTAGGCGACAGTTTCAGCCCAGTAATGTTCTGATAACGTTTGTCATTTTTTATCAAATCCAATTTTCAAGGGTATATTTCCTTTGCCCGGTATTTTAGTTGAATAGCTATAGAATGGCGCCTTTGACTCTATACATGACCTTTCATTATTAACCCTGAATGTCTCCTCAGGAAGTGAGAAAGAGGAAGAAGGCCGAGGAAGAGATAAGAATCAAGGAGGAAAAGGAGAGGAAGAAGAGAGAAGCCGAGGAAAGACTGAAGAAATCCAAGAAGCCCAACTTTGTTATCACAAAACGTAGCGACTCTGAGAAGGGTTCTGGAGGGGTACGTGTTAACACTGAAATAACAAGCGCATTTGCTCTAACGAGATTTTTTTTCAGGTTTACATCACACACATGTACAATGCATATGTAGTTTGGATTTCATATGGACGTAGATTTGAAGACTATTTTTAACACTTTATGATTTAAGATATATGCATACATGTTCGGAATGATCTGACTGATATTATTTACTTGGATGACATATATGCGAATTGTGCAGTTTGTATATATTGGATACATAAACATATAATATGGGGATTGTAATAAGCAATCATTAACATATAACGGCATCATCATTAAAAATGACACGGATTCTGTTTTTTGGTAAATTTAGTTTTGAAAAATATATGTGTTCACACACAAATTTTACAATGAGCAACCAAAAGAAACAACTCGTGAAACATTTTTTTAATGTTATCAATTAGTTGTGTTCGTGATCATTTAAAGTCTCGTTTATTACGGAATGTTAAAACAGATAAAGATTTCAGTGGAGCTTTGGCACTAGGATCTCTCGTTTCACCATGGTGATGTGTTCGAGGCAGGAAGAGAGAGCATCGTTGTCACATATGGATTGAAAATAGAACACATTTTTAAATTCTGTAAAAAAAAACTTCAATGCGATGATATTTGTGAGAGAATCCGTGTTGTTACTGCATATAATGTGCTTTCATCCTTCATTGCTTGTTCTCAAACTGCCGAATATTACTAGACTTAATTACTCTTGATATCGTATTTTTATTTTCTGAATTATTTTTGTCTTAATACAACATATTTTCTCAACAATCATCAGTCAGTTGCATCAAATGCATAAAAAATCCGACAAACTATAGAACGTAATTCAAATGAAACAATATTTTTACGCTTGTTATAGATTGCATTTTGGTATTTGAAAATCGGAGTTCGTCGAGTCCACTAAAACAATAAAGGGGCTAATATATTTCAGTATATTTTAGTTTTTCCTCTTTCGAAAAATTCAAGACATATTTACCATAATCGACATAGTTCATGCATTGCAACGACTGTTGAGTTGTTTTACCCTTAGACAACTTGTAATGGTCTATACCAATCCTTATGCATCTCACACCAAACACTGCATATTGTATGTAACAGCGCGTATTACAGCTCAATCGCCATGCTTTGCCAACAATATCATTTGTTAATTACGAATAACATCGATCTGTAAAACAATTACATCCATATATATTTTTTTCAAGGATATGTCGATTTATATTTCCTGAATACAAACCAAAAAGAACCGAGGTATATATTAATATTTATATATCCGGTGATTTTTCTATGAAACGGAATGTTTCCACAGGATCATTGACTAGCGTCATTCTTGTCTATCAAATTTGTATCTTTCTAAACATAAAACCAGAAATATATTACTGACGTATCCTTGCAATTCGTCATATGTTGATATTTACAAATTAACAATGACTTCCATGTGTTGATGTCAATGTATTTATACAACTGGACGACGAATGAGTAGACCTGGTCTAGCTTCTGGCTTTTATAACTTTCAGCCCGAACGTGGTGTAGTAAGTAGTTAAGAATAAGTTCTTGTTAATGTATTAATCTTAACAAACTGTCATCCAGGTTATTCTGTCCAGAGAGCTATCGTATTTTTCGTCTAACTATAACTGACAGATATAAATATTATAATTGTACTTCAGGACAAAGCGGACACAATTTATGGATAACATCTTCTTTAATTTCTGTATCCATGAATTATCAACTTTGTCATCCATCAACTTCTAAGTAATGGCTATCAAACAGTTTACTCCATGACATTCAGATATTTTCATTGTGGAATGCCTTGGTTGACGGTTTTAATATTTATGTTTCATAACACAATGGGCAGGAATTCGGTATAACCAGGGACGACTAATGAATGCGTCTATAAGAATGCTGGTCTTGACGTGTATTTACAACTGCATAACTAATGACACAACACGTAAACAAGTGTACTAACGACAGTGTTACTAATCAACGGACTACTAATTCACGAATCTAACCTCACAGAATGTATACGTATTTCTGCTGCACAGGTAAATTGAACTTGATAATTGAATAACTGTTATTAACCATTTATGTCTTGTTTTAGTCATGTTTCGCATAATGTGATAGTGATAAAGCCGACCCGAAAGTGTTAAACATACTGTAGGACTGCAACGAATGAGAACTATTGATAAAAAAAGTTTCACTTTAGTTTCATTTTAGTTTCATTTTAGTTTCATTTTAGTTTCATTGCATAACGCCCTCATGTATCATAAGAACTAGAATGCATAGTCATTTGATACACATTTGCGAAATTAACATTGAGAACTTGAGTCATGAACAGGACTCTGTAATATTGACAAGCCGAGTAAGTAGTCATCATTATCGCAAGGGGCGACTAGGATGAGAATCGGATGATCAAAATGGGTGATGTGTATGGCTAGTATGTGGTTGCATAAACACCAAGCAAGACCATCTCACAGCCAGTCTGGTTTGAGTGTCACTGTACCACGAAAGAGTTAATTGTTGCTCACGCTATCAACCACGGCTGTCTTGGGTTCAGGCTCGGTCACTTTGCAGGACACTGTGACGTGAATAGCGTCCATTCACTTAACTCACTCCATCACAAGCCATGTGTGTGGCTGTCCTAGTTCTAACGACCATCCTGTAGTTTACAAGGGCCTCTAGCTGCGGATGCAGGACCAGCTGTGGGCGATTAGTAATGCCCTCGTGTGTATGTCCATTGTATTTATTACAGATGTGCACTGTTGTGTTATGAGTGACCATTGTCCACCAGTTACCGTCTACTCACATACAGTTTTTGGTAGCAAATCTCTGTTCTAACTGGGTTGAAAGCGTGTTCGTCCCTTTATTGCAAAATCCGCGTAAACTGTGACACTTGTTCAATATTCACAGTTTGGTGAAACATTTTTTAAATTTGTCTAACAATAAATTTTATATAACGATTTGTCACAGATTATACAATTTTGCAGTATCTTGTCGGTAATTCAAAACTGTGATACCTGGAACGATTACGAAATCAACTGAATCACTGTTTATGTGTGAGACTACCCATCAAAAGAGCATGTTGGAGATTTCACGTCCGCTTCCAGCAATGCAGACTTCGCTCACCAAACGTCTTCGGAATATAATTTAATGAAAACAACGACATTTATTCCTGGTATCACAAGTTTGTTCAGCCGTACTTTGTAGTTCATGACGTCACACACCATTGTTATTTTGTGATGCTATAGCATCTGTTTATACAACACGTTCAATTTGTGAAAATAAATATTAATGCTAGTATGAATAGTTACAAATTTCTACAGAGATAGTTCTTGTGTGCTTTATGTGTTAGTACAGGCACTTCGACTTGAGTTGTTTCACAACTAATACCTGATAGAATAACAGTTTTCAGTAGTAAAGTAATTCTATTAGAGGAAGGTTTAATGGTAGATAACTTTGTCATTTATCAAAATAAATATTGCCATCCAAAGGCATATGTCTCATACTCAACGAGACCTAATACTGGAAGTTGACAGATTATTTTTAGTGTAAATACGTTTAGAAATGAGTTAAATAAAGTTAACTGCTTTTTAATGGTTTCATTGATTAATGACAAGAAAATGGACTGGACAAGGTAGGCACTCTATGATCAATGACAATCCAAACATTTTCAGCTTTTAATCGAATGATGAGATGTGTGAAATATATTAGACTCGGTGAAGCAAATACCGTTATATTTACAATGCAACTAAATACATTCTGAATATAACATGGCCATTGTTATCAACAAGTAACACATGTATGCAAGAGTATTGAACATAAAATAAAATAGCCTTGTGATGTTACTTCCAGCTCGAGCCACTGAACGCGGACGACATGCAGAAATCGAAGGAACAGCTGGAAGAAGAGAAACGCGCTATTTTGGCCCAGAGAATCAACCCTCTTTCGATCGAAGGATTCACCAGTGACAAGCTCCTTGGACGCGCCAAGGAGCTCGTGGAGACTATCCGTCGCTTGGAAGGGGACAAGTATGATCTTGAACAGAGATTCAAGAGACAACAATATGACGTGAGTGGATATCCAAACGTATTTACCGTGTAGGTAGCTGACGGTGTACAACGTCCGCCATATTGGTAGTTGTGTCTGTAGTCTCGTCTCGATGGAGATAACGAGATTTGTAAACATACATCTGGCATATTGGTAGCTGTGCTCGCAGTCTCGTCTCGTTGGAGTTTACGAGATTTGTAAACACGTCCGGTATATATTGGTAGCTGTGCCTGCAGCTTCGCCTCACCGGAGATAACGAGATTTGCAATGACGTCATATTTGCATATTATTGTGACCTCATCGGTTACCGCGACGTCACAAACAAATGACATTGCCGATCTCGCTGCCATTGAAGCTGCTTAGCTGTACGTTTTACACACAGGCCACTTCTTATTACTGTCTACAAGCAGGAAAAGCTGGTCCAAGGATGATGTTGGATCACAAATAGAAACTCACCATCGTGTCTTATGATATCAAATATATCAAGACCCGTCGATAAAAGTTTACCAACTCGCGTTGATATATTTGATAGCAAAAAACACTCGGGCGAGATTTCAATTTATAACAGCATTTAACACGAACGCTGAACATATCAATCACTTAATGAATCAATATTCTGTATGAATGTAGCCCCATATACAAATAACAGTTTGTATGGTAGTGGCGACCCGGGAAAATCCGGGGTAGAATAGGTCTTCAGCAACCCATGCTTGCCGTAAAAGGCGACTATGCTGGTCGTAAGAGGCGATTTACGGGATCGGGTGGTCAGGCTCACTGACTTGCTTGATGCATGTCATCGTATCCCAATAGCGTAGATCGATGCTCATCATGTCAATCACTGGACTGTCTGGTTCAGACTCGATTTTTTACAGACTGCCGTCATTTAGCTGGAATATTGCTGAGTGCGGCGTTAAACAACAAACAAACAATCAATCAAACAATCACAAGAGCATTATCATAGCGATTTCTTTGTTCTATTCAACAGATGATCGAGTTGGCCGAGAGAGCCAGACAGATGAACAAAGGGTAAGAGACACACTCTGTTTCCACTGTTCAGTTGGTAGTACTAGTGGTTTGGAGTAATCAGCAGATACAACAGATAATTTAGGGACCATGTTAACGACTGGCTGTTTTAGTTTTTGGTTGAAGTTTAAAACTGATGCAAGTTACTATAACAACTACATATGGAGCAGGTGCTGTTCCCACGTCTCGCTGGTCTGGTGTAGATTCACTCTTTGCTTTAGCACTGATTTTAAATATGGTGTTACCCGTTTATACACAGCGTTATCTATGTCTTGTCACTTGAGTGTCACATGGGGATACCGTTAGTTGGAGTGTCCGTTGGTGTCATTTGTGGAGAAAAAAACGCTTGATGTTCTCTGTCAGGCAAATTAGAGCAAATCAAACTCCAAGGGGTCCAAAAGATTATTGTTTAAAATATATGTATTTTAACTTCAATGTTTGTATTTTTTCAGAAAAGGCAAACGAGGAGTTTCCTCAGTACAGGTTGACGAATCGTAAGTTAACATTTCACAACATTCCTAGATGATAATTGAAATCCAAAGAAAACAAGCAAAACCAAATAAAGAGACAAGTACTACCCTTGAAACGCTATGCTTGTCGTAAAAGGCGACTAACGGGATCGGGTGGTCAGTCTCGATGACTTGGTTAAAGCATGTCATCGTATCCCATTTCGTAGATCGATGCTAATGATGTCAATCACTGAATTGTCTGGTCAAGACTCTATTATTTACTGACCGCAGTCATATGATTGGAATATGCGGCGTTACACAATAAACAAACAAACAAACAAATTCATGCTCGCTGTGTGACCACATTGTAGGCTTTTTCACATGAAGCAGATATGTCGTGCAATGTCTGAAGCAGAATACAATGCAACGTTACATCAACTCACTCACTCACTCCTTGTTCTGTATTTAACGAAGTTGGTTTGTTTCTTTGTACAGGTTTGATCGTCTTGCTGATAAATTCACCAGTGCTCCCGTAAGTATTCCTCACTATAATGACGCTGTTGTTTCACCGGGGATTCCGGGACAGACTAGGTACCCAGTACCCGATGTTTGTCTCACTGTGGGGTTTCCGGGACAGACTAGGTACCCAGTACCCGATGTTTGTATCACTGTGGGGATTCCGGGACAGACCTGGCCATTAGTCCCCTATGCTTGTCACACTGTGGAGATTCGGAACAGACTAGGTACCCAGTACCCGATGTTTGTCTCACTGTGAGGATTCGGAACAGACTAGGTACCCAGTACCCGATGTTTGTCTCACTGTGAGGATTCGGAACAGACTAGGTACCCAGTACCCGATGTTTGTCTCACTGTGAGGATTCGGAACAGACTAGGTACCCTTACCTGATGTTTGTCTCACTGTGGGCATCGGAACAGACTAGATCCACAGTACTCCATGCTTGTCTCACTGTGGGGATTCCGGGACAGACTAGGTACCCAGTACCCGATGTTTGTCTCACTGTGAGGATTCGGAACAGACTAGGTACCCAGTACCCGATGTTTGTCTCACTGTGGGGATTCCGGGACAGACAAGGTTCCCAATACCCGATACTTTTCTCACTGTGGGGATTCCGGGACAGACTTGGCCCCCAGTACCCCATGCTTGTCTCACTGTGGGGATTCGGAACAGACTAGCTCCCCAGTACTCCATGCTTGTGTCACTGTGGGGATTCCAGGACAGACTAGCTCCCCAGTACTCCATGCTTGTCTCACTGTGGGGATATTCCGGGACAGACTACGTCCCCAACACCGATGTATTTCTTGTGAGCCGACGCAATAGATGACTGGGAGGTTGCGTTATGTGACCTTCATGATGTGCTTCATCCTACCCAGCGAGGATGCTGGTCAAGCCTAAACAACCCTGGTTTGCACGGCCCTGACTCGATATATGACAGGTAGCCGTGGAATAGCTGAAATATTGCTGATATTGCGGCGTTAAACAACACTCGCATGCTCCAAAAGCCACATCTTTGCTTTAAATTAAAGAATCATAACAATTGCTTCGGAGACCAATATTTAAAAGATAGTAAAATGTATTCTGCAACTCGCCTTTCTTTCCACAGCCCAAAATCCAACTGTGCAGTAAATATGAACGCCACACCGACCACAGAACATACAACGAAAGAGCCAAGCTGTTCGAAGAATTGGCCGTGGAACCCCCACCCCCAGAGATCCAGCATGTCCAGAAAGGAGGAGATGAGGAAGGAGAGGGTGATGAGTAGATCCACTTGTCTGCGAATATCCTCAAGTCTAGGGTACTGGTAGGTACACTGCCTATACACTGAGTGAGCGAGTATGGTTTTACGCCGCTTTTAGCAATATTCCAGCAATATCACGGCGGAGGACACCAGAAATGGGCTTCACATATTGTACCAATGTCGGGAATCGAACCTGGGTCTTCAGCGTGACGAGCGAACCCTTTAACCACTGGGCTACCCGACCGCCCCGCCTATACAATGAGAACATCTCACATACATGAAACACAAGCACTTGTATCGCGTGAGTCGAATCGCAAAGACGTGGAACCCCACAGATAATGGCCCCCGTCTGGCGAGCACGTTGGGTGATGTCAGAAGTAACAGGCATACGACAGCGGCGGCTACGACCATTAAGGTCCGCTGGTTGTGGTTCGAATTCCAGATCCGTCCTGTTCGGTATCGGCTTACCACTAGATTTTAAGAACGTGGTAAATAAGTAGGGTTACTTTGGTATTTCCTCCTTCTCTTGACTAACGTCATTGAAAAAAACCCTTACTCAATTTTCATCCAGCGCAAGGATAGGCAAGTGGGTAGTGTGTTTCCTTGTCTGGTAGTATATCCAGTTTGATTCTGTACATTTGTACACTTACTCCCACTTCAATTTGCAGGAACCTTTCATGTTTCATTTCACCTTTGATTATCGCTGATGTCAGTTTCTCAGTTGATTTACATTTTATCAGTTCAATGCTTTATTCGTTTGTTTAAAAAAAAATTTCTTTCTTTTTTTACAGTATAAAAGCCGCAATAGCGAGTCCTGCTTTGCCTCTTCGCCTGTCTGTGGATGCAAGTCATATCTTTCTAGTGCTGACTCAAAAACATCAGATAAAATTGAAAGACCAAAAACTGCATCATGTACATATTCAATATTCGCCCTAGACTTTGTAAAAAGCTGTACTTCAATGCCTTTTTTTTCGCGACAATATCATGTGCAATACGTTTCCATGGGCACGTGTAATGTTCCTTGGCGGAATACTCTCTTGGAAAGGATTTCAGTTGTCTTCCTGGTTCAACTTGAATAATTTACCCTTAGCTTTGTGCCGACTTTACAACTCTGTGATCAATACTAGTTAATAGAACACTTCACTAAGGGATTAAATTTGGGTATCAATCTGTACATTGGAATTTTGTGTATTTATTATGATTTCTGTGTGTCTTCCTTGGTCAAACATGGGCAACGGGTTCCCTGGCCGTAACCTGCTCGCTGTGAAAGCACCTCGGAACTGCAGTATGATCCATGGCCCCCAACACCAGTGTGTCAGCTGGAATATGGAAACTATTGAGTCTTGCACAGCGTGGCATGGGTAGTTGTATTATTCAACTCGACCTTACAGCCAGGGAAACCCGTACACCCAGACAAGGTTCAAGAATCATATTTAATTTATTGAGTGATGACCTCATAGACGCCCTAAACGCTGAAAAGACTTCAGTTGAATAAACTTGATGGTTGATTTAGCACATGCTCTGTGTTCAGTTGGGTTTTTTAATGTATGGAATCCTGAAAAGTACATTCACCGTTAATCCGGGTGTTAGTCTCTCTCGCAGACCCTAGAGACGAAAATTAAATAGGAGTCAACTCAAGTCTAGAATGATTTGGCAAGTCTAGATTGATTCATTGATTGATTGGTTGGTTGGTTGGTTGGTTGGTTGGTTGATTCACTCAGCAATATTCAAGCTATGTGACAGTAATCTGGATCAAACAATCCAGATACTGGCATCATGATCATCAATCCACGCAATTGGGATACGATGAGCTGCATCAACCAAGTCAGCCAGCCTGGCCACCCCATACCATTGGTCCCCCCTCAGGACAAGCATGGGTTGCTGAAGACCAATTCCAACCAGGATCTTTACTAGTATCAGTGAGTGGATGGTACTTCAGCAGTATTATCTCATCAACCGTTATACAGCAGGGCCAATCAAACCAGTGGTTGATATCATGAACAACCATCCCATGGAGGACTGTGCTATAAACCCACCCTCAAAACAATGTATTACTGTCATGATCATCGAATTGAGATTCAAAAATAATACGGAAAATAAGAATTATAGTGAAATAATTTATTTGATTAAATATATTTGTCAAATAGAAACATTAACAGTACAAAATAACCATGACAAAAATATAGACCACACAAACATTTTAACAGAGCTTGGGGAGAATATACAGATGCATACAATATACTATACACTGGGTTGAACATTCTGACATGGACTAAAGATTACACAGAAGACCGATATTGATAATATCAACTTAAAGAAAGCACAGCAGCCACCAAACTGACTACAAAATACAAAAGTGTTGCAGATCGTTGAGAGACGAACCAGGTCTTACCCAAAGTCCATTGACAGAGTGGCCGCCACATGTTTCATAACATTAGCTGAGGTACTGAAGCTCACCATTAAAAAAAAAGAACCAACATCATGGTATTTTAATACGTTTCTTTTACATCAATATTTTGCAACTGAACTGAAGTCAAAGGTTGTTAAACATCCAACTTCATCCAAAAAACATTTTTTTACCTTTGCATCCTTATGTATTTTAAGACATATGGAACGAGGAATTACTAATGATTCGAAATAAGGACTTTGATTACAAGTGACACTATACATAACATCAATCATAAATTTGTTATTAAAATATATACTAATATTCATCAGACTGTCTTGTCAAATGTACACTAGGGACCACATGGCACTCAAAGACTTGTGCAAATATTCATACTTCACCAGATTAAATAACAGGTACATTGTATGTGATATAAAACAATTTGCAAAATTCTGGTTTCTTTCCTCAGTAAAGATGAAAGTTTGGTTTGAAAGGCATTTCTTGAATTTGACATTGTAATCTGAATATAAGTCCATCCTGCCTTGAGCGAAACTCTTAAAGTCTTGGATATGAAACACGACTGTATGACAGGACCAATGGTGTCTACTCTACTTTGGCAAAGTACAGCATGGCACAACACAAATGTATCAAGGCTTGCCAATAATGCAGTCAGAAGAAACATATCTCCTGGCAACGATGATAAATACAGTATATATATCACATATACAACATGTCTGACTGCACTGAAGTGGAAGGGAAAGATGGCAGAGTCCAGCCACTCTACACGTAGAATATTCCCCTATGTTACATGTATAAAATGTTAATATATTTACACTATGTATACATGTGGTTTATATTGAACAGGCTCTATTTAGAATCACTAAGATATATAAACCATATTTTAAAATACCTGTGGTCCAACATTTTATAGAAAAGTAAAGAAGTTCAGAACTTCAGAACAAAAATATTTCAGCATTTTTTGAAAATCATTTTGGATTGTAACTTTAACCACAAAATGACATAATTACTCCTTTCTTGTGAACAATTTACATAATTAATCATTTGTTGTGAACAATTTACATAATTAATCATTAGTTGTGAACAATTTACCTAATTACTCATTTCTTGTGAACAATTTACATAATTAACCATGTGTTGTGAATAATTTACATAATTACTCACATTGTTGCTTTATTGATAAAACCTATTTGAGCAATATATTACTGATCATTTTGAGATTCCAACATGGACACATAACAGAAATTATCCACAGTTATTACAAGCATATACATGATATATACAATACATAGATTTGTATACACAATGAAATGCAACTCAAACTCCATCTAACTAAAAGAAACAGTGGTAATAACCTAACAAGGTTGATGCTTTAAGCATGTATGTTGGTTATAAAATGTACATATGACATGTATAAGTAGCATATATCATCAGGTAACATATGAGTATATTATGATATATAACTACCTTTTTATCTTCTTTTTTTATGAGTTTATCCTAGTTCCAGATGCCTGTGGCTTCACAGTACTTGAGGGCTCTGTACCACGTGATTGGAACACATATAGAGATCTATATTGTTGTCATCCTATTGTTTAAGGGTTCTTCAAATGGTAGAAGGCAGCACGGGTGGCCCAGTCGTCTAAGTTGCCGCGATTCGCTGTGCAGAGTTGCGTCCTTTGGGTATGCCAGAAACCAATGATTGTGGGTTCAAATCCCGGTTCGCCTCGATTGTTTCTAGGTTTGTCAACACCATACCCGTGCTCGAGGGTTTCACCAAAGTGTTAAATGTCTGAGACCTGCATCACCTCGTGCTTTCCTCCCACATTAAGCTGACACGCTGTCCAGGGTATTCTGAGAGCGTGCCTGCAACTTTCTTTCGGACAGTGTTACATCATGATGCATAAACATTCTTTTAATATGCATCCAATGTTGTTTTACATGAAACTTAAATGACATGATCGAATCTGCAAACTCACATGTCGTGTTTAGTAATGTAAACCCCTGTTTTCCCTCTAAGCCACCAGGGCAGGTGATGAAAATATGTTCAATCTTAAATGTCATGACTTCAGTTGTCTGCATGCTGCATATGGTCTTTCTCTCACCCACAGTGACTGTCATCAAATTTGTTTTTTACTGCGACGCAATTCTTTCACTTTAAGGTATCCCAGGTTTTTTCTTATTCTTTCTGGTATTTCTAGCCTATAAACAGTTCATTAGTTAGCTTACACACTGAGGCATTTCCCTCACTCTCAGCTCAATCTCATTAAAATCAGACCTTAGTGCGGGTGGGGTGTTGGTGGTGGTGTTGGTGGTGTTTGGCTTGTTAAAGAGGAGAGGGGGTTAGTGTAGAAGCTGTGACTTGAGAAACGAAGGAAATAGTTTGTCGTAAAACTTGAGGGGCAGATATTAGATGGCTGTAGACTAGGAGAAAGGCCACGAAATGAGAGGGGTGAGGGAAATAGATCTGGGTGGTGTGTGGATGACTTGAGTAAATGAGTATGGTTTTAAGCTGCTTTTAGCAATATTCCAGCAATAT